GCAATCGTCTCCTCGCGATCGATGGGCTTAAGGAGCGGCACTTCGCTCTTATCGAGCCCTCCATCGGTGGACGCCTTCTCGGCGTCGGTGTAGTCGTCGTCGTCGACGAAGATGTCGTCCTGATAGCGGAAGATGTCGTTCTTGACGTAAAACTTTGTGGGCGACTGCGGCGCCAACACAAAGGTCTGCAAAAACTTGCGCATCGGTTGGCCGTCGTTGGAGAACTCGCCCGACAGCTGAGGAATGGCAACAAATCACTCAATTAATGCCATCACTTCGCACATCACATCACTGCGAGCCTCACCTGAATGACAACGCCTTTGCCAATGGTCTCCATGGCGTCCACTTGAATGATCTTCGCGTGACAGTCCTTGAAGTTCAGGTCCAGGATCTTCTTATTGATGTTCTCCTGGCCGTAGACGGCGACCGACACCTCTCCCGGCCGGTCGAGCGCCCCGTTCACGAAGTAGGAGTCGCCCGAATAGAATCTGATCCGTGGGTAACACATGTTATAGATATACACCAATCATTGGCCGCAATGTCTGTCGCGAGCGTTGCCTTCGATGCAGGCGTTGCTATCAGAAGATGTTTGTCCGCACCGTTCGCATGACTGCCAGGCATTGCAGTCCTCTTAGACGCAAATTATCTCATCATTGCATCGCCTCGAAGACACCGCCAGAGAGACAGACAGAGAGACATACAGACAGACAGCCATGACATACCTGTGCATGAGGTTGGGGTTCTTGTTGAGAATGGTGTAGTACTGTCTGACGAACTCCCTGGCCACCGCTGTGATCGACTCACTCGTGGGGTTACTGTTATTGTTTGGCTTATTGTTTGTCTCCATTCCGCTCACCATCTTCTAGGAGTTCTGCACTTCTGTCACACTTATGGCTAAAACCTGAGACAATGGACACAAAAGGCATGAGTTATGGTGTCGTCATTGACTGCAAAATGGCGGCCATTGGGAGGCATGGGATCGAGTGGTGGATCAGATCAAATGAATCCATCAGTGAATGGCGCGGTTGTTGTTGTGACCGCACCGGACATATGAGAGGGCAAGTGACTCATCACATCCACCACTACATCCCCGGCCACACCACCACTCATG